AGTTCAACTTTCCACAGTGTTTGCCAAGTAACTACAGGCTGAAATACATTCAGTGTTTCACAGGACAGCATATCATGACAAATGACTGTCAGACTTCTAACATCCTGCTGCTGACTAACAGGAATAACAGCAGACATGCCTTCAAAAGTCCAAATCTCCCGCTGGCACTGACAACACAGAAAGGGCAAGCTTTCAGCTTGTGCTATTGTTGTTCCCACTCTGTAGAGCTTGGTTTCTGATACACGCTGGGAGAAATGTCCACAGGGTCTGCCAGTAAGGATTCTGTCAGAAAGTATTATGTAACCATGCTGTTTCCCATCATGTTAGAGAATGACACTTTTCCCTGTTGATATTCATGTTGTTATGGGTTTTTTTAATCTCTAGCTTATATCAAGCAGACTCGGAGATGAGCAGTCCACTTTTCTATTCTCCTTTTTCCCCTCTCTTACTTGCTATTCCACAATTCTTCCCACACGTTCACACAAAAAAAAGTATCGAGTTTCTTTTTCTTTTGCACAGTTTGAAATGTGTCATTAGTTCAAAAAACACACATAAATTATTATGAGTTTCTCATGGCTGGACCGGCCATCTCTGATATGAATGTGATTAATGGTAATTTTTCTCAATCTTCAATCATCTAACAGGAAGTTTGAGAAAATGTCCCGGTTGGCTGATTTGGGTTCAGTGCTCCTTAGTATCAACAGCTCATTTATCGCTAAGTGAGGGGTGGCAATTAGTGTTAGGGTGCAGTCGACATTCTCAGCAACTTCCTCTTAATACTGACCAATCCATTCTTCTTCACTCTCATCCAAAAGAGGAGAAAGGGAGTCTTACTGCCCTCAGTAGCAGTAAAAGTGGAGTTTCAATCAAAGTATCTAAATAAGCACCACTAATGCTTTACATTAGTTGAAATGAACAGACTTGATTTGTGCCTTAACAACTGAGACAAGAATAATTCAACTCAGTTTTAATCATATAATGCCGAATCACAACAACAGTTGCCTAAAGGCGTTTTATATCATGAGGTATTGACCCTAAATTAATATAGAGAAGACCTTAACAATCAGATGACCGACTCTGAGCAAGCACATGGCAACAGTAGGGAGGAAAAGCTCCATTTTATAACAGGAAGAAGCATCTGGCAGAACAAGGCTCAGGAAGGTGCAGCCATCTGCCTTTGGAGGAGGGAACCAGGACAAAAGAAAGCTGTGGAAGCCCGATAAATAATAACTCGGATAGTAAGAGAAATTAATATAAGATACTTGTGCTGAACGGCCCTTTAGGATTATGCTTCAAGTTTTCTAGTTTAATTAATATGCCTCTATAAGCAACAGGGTTCCATATGATGCTGGAGTTTAGCTTTGGTTATTGGTTCCTCTTATAAAGGGGGATGCTGCAGCGAGCTGCAGTAGAATAGGCCTATCACTGAAACGTTTGTCTTTATCGTCAATGTATGGGCATATATGATGTAATTAACGTTGTTGCTTATGTGTTGTATTATGTGTTATTTGAGTAGGTCATCATTTCGGGATTCTTCAGTCAAGGGGTAAAGTTACTAGACAGACTGCAGTACCTCTCAAGGCCTTGAGGGAACTATTGTTGCGATGCTATGTAAATAAAATTTAATTCAATTAAAATAGTGTCAACAAGAGATTACGCTTTTCAGTAAACATGCCATTTTTGCACTTCCACAGTAGAAGTTCATAAGCACCATGTTGTGTTTGATGGAGCATAATGAGGTCCCCTCTAGCATACATCTGAGCCCCCCCCTCCCCCCCAAATCTATACAATAACAAATTCATCAAAGCTTAAGGGCAGATGGCTTCTCCTAATAATTGTAACGATTAAATAAACTATGGAATTACATTGAAAAGTGCTGCAAAGTGTGTTTCATAAAGTGATGGATATACATTTTACACATGTGCAAAAATTGTAGAGAGGACATTCTTGTAGTGCTTGCACACACAAAGGCTCATAACTCTATTCTGAGAGCTGCGTGGTTTTTCCATACACCCTCATTCATGCTGAGCTTTCAACTCGATTTCTAATCTTTCCCCACATTTACCCAAAGCTCGACCTTCTGCACACGCATGCTACGGAATGTCAGACCTCTGCCGAAGGTGCAGATCAACTGTAACTATAGGGGGATGTTAAAAACGATAATGAGAGATGAGGCTCATGTACTGCTTGCCACTGACATGGCATTTGCATCGTCTGTCTGGGAAGAGATGACAGAAGATATGGAATCAGTCAATGCAAGCAAATAACATATAATCACTAGTCTGTGCCTCCAGATGTGCAGACTACTCAACCTAGTTTATATATCTGGAGGCTGTATTTAGTTATCAAAGCTGCTACAGTGGTTGCACATGGCAACTGTCATCTAATTTGAAATCAGAGCCCGAGTGAAAAATCTAGGAACTTGGTGGGAACTTTAGAAATAGCCCACCGCCAAATTAAGAAAATAATAGTAATGATAATGATAATGAAGCCTAAAAAAAACAAGAAAGAAGTGTCCTATACTTATATGCAGTTAGACCAATTTAATAGCTTTTAGTGGTCAAAGATGAAATAATGAAATAGCTTTCCAAAATAATGCTAATCAAATAAATGTTGAAATTATATCGTTATTAAATTTCTATACTGCTAATTCACACAAAGAGTACTATACAAAGAAAAGTAGTAGTATTCTTCTTAATTGAGAATTAAGTTTAAATTTTTTTTTAAAAAAAACTTTGCCTGGGACAAAACGGTTTTAGCCTCTATACCTAATTTACCTCCAAACTGTACAAGTGATGAATTTTTATATTAAGTATATAACCACACTGGAGCTGCCACACTAAACTTCTCTGAGAAGTCAGAAATTAATCAAGCATATTATTCAACCACTAAAACTAATTTTTCTGTTTAGGAATGCAAGTAAATAATTATAATTTTGGCATCCCAAATTTATTTCTGCTCTTTTGGAAAACAGTAAATTTGAAACCAACAATAATTATATTTTAGCATTAAAAATATAATGATATGGTGGTGTAATAAATTTTTTAAGCACTGTAACTTGCTTGCTGAAACTCTGTGTTCAAATCGAGTTTGCCGACTGGACTTCAGCAACTGTTCTGGGCGTCACCTCCACTCGTCTACTTCTGTTAAATCAATGTATGAACAGTCTACCGAGTGGGTGTCTGTGTCTATGATGCATCCACACGGTTTAAAGCTGCACCGTGATAACCAAGCTACCAAGAACACCATCATTGGCTCTAAAAGAAAAACAACATGGGATGTTAAACCAGAGACGTTCATCTTTTATGTACAGTCTATGCTTTAGATTTTATTGTTGTAAAACACCTACAACTAGAAAGTGAGCAAAATTGTGATATCAAGTTAGTTATAGACACGGTACACATCTTTAATGATATTTAATAATATCTGGTAATATACTTAGACATAAAGTAACAGATTCAATTCTTAAATGATCTCTTGTTGTTTTCAAAAGCTAAAAATATTCCCCCTTTTCACACTTTTCTATGTCAAATGAATTCCAGAGCTTCTGTGTTTGCATAATAAATATTATAATAAGATGCCTCGGGACAAATTTAAGCTGTCTAACTCTATTCATTCTTCAGGAGAAACTTGTGGAAACAATTTGTACTTTATTACGCCTACTTGAAATTCATTTTCTGCAATATCCTATATGATATTGAAAGCTTGACATCAACTCTGCACTATGCAGTTTAGAGACTAAGAATACTTGTGGGGTCTTGCTCTAAGTAAAAAAAAAGTTTCTTTCAGATAACAGTACCGTGTTAAAAAATAAAACTGCATAAAGGAAATTACGACAATCTTTCCACTGTGTTCCAGTCAGCCACAGTTTGTTTCACGTACTGTAAATAAGACCCCACTGTTCTCTTTACGAAACAAACACAGCAGCTGCCAGGTTTGTCTGAGTGGCCAAAACGAGTTTGAAACACACAACTCACAAAGGCCAGATGTGATCTAACTAAATCCAAACAGCTGCTCACATCGGCCACAAGCAAACCTCGTAACCATACTTGATAAAGCCTCAAGTTAGCAATGCAATAAATCCTGTGCCCGGCAATATAAACACCAGTGACTCCTTTAACTAAAAAGTGAATAAAGCAATTAAGAAAGGGATTCAATGAGGTGAAAATGAGGTGATTGACTATAGAAGCAGATAATAAACAAGGGGCCGACGGAGACAGAAACAAGTTGGCAAGGAGAGAAAAAGGGAGCACAGAGGAGAGATAGTCCCGTAGACATGCAGCTGGATGAATACAAGGCCCCTGTGTCAGCACTCTGTGTACGAGAGAGACTGCGTTCAAAGCATTACTGTAGCACTGAAGCCAGGTCTAGCTGGTATTTCGAGTGCGTTTGCACGCAGCTCCCTTGCACAGACCAAACCATTATCCTAACTGCACTTAACTGCAACTGTGAGGAGATGGGAAGGTGAGAATGCAGGACAAACAAAAAAAAGAAAAGGAAAATTAGACAAAACAGGAGAAGAAGCACAGTGACACTGAGACATGATAACAGTGACTCACTCTTGGAGCAGGCTGTCCGTGATCATCCAGATACGTGGATCCACCTGCAAAAGCAAGTATCCAAGTTGAAATACTGAAAACATCATATTATATATATATGGAGAGATTACATTTTATAACGAAATAAGAAGCAAACTAACCAATAAATAACATGAGGGTAAAAATGACTCATTTATATCAAAATAGAAAAACACCTGAGCTGTATTGTCTACACGAATGCTTTAGTTCAGCCACATTCTTAGATCTGATATCGGATGTTTCTTTTTTATCAAGGTCATTCCAGAGTTTCTCTACATTTTTTGTTATCATCTATTCAATTCCTAGGCTCGTGCATATACTGAAACCATTCTGGAGTTGAGTTGATCAAAGCGGTCCTATCGCGCGCCTCGATTTTTGCCACTGACTGGTTTCCAGGTTTGCAAACTACTGGCTCTAATTAGTTTTTGCTGATGCCAGCAGACCCAAGGGTTCATATATGTTTCCCAGCTATGCTGTGAATGTTTGAACTTTCTCCCTTTTATGACTCTGTATGTTTATTTTTGGCCGTTTGGAGTTTTTCAGGCAGTGAAAGACTTCTCAGAAGTCATAGTTGTTGTGTGAAAATTGTAGAAAGGTAATAGTAACAAGGAGAAAAAATTGCATGTAATGCCACTAACCCATTGCAGCAAATTTTGATCATCAACTTGTCAACACACTGAAATATCGCTATCATGAACACAAAAAGTTCGAAATCAGTGACATCAATCATCACATTTTAGTTTCCACTGACATGTTTTACTGATGCGATCGCCTGTCTTTTAAACCCTTCTTCCTTTAACCACTTCCTCCACCGAAATGCTTCAAAACTCTGCCGCATCTAACCATGTGAGAGCCTGCATCACACGGCGCAGCTCGACCCAACTTTACATCATTCGTCGAAACCACACATGGCTCTTCAGTGTTAAAGGTGAAGGTGTTGTGACGAGAGCTCTAGTTGAAGTAGCTCCATTCGTAGCTGTTTATGGAACACTATGAAGCGGTTTCTTGTGGGAATAATGGTGTTCATTGAAGGCTGCTCCTACACTGAGGATCTGTGCCCGTCTTTCGGCCCACGCTCCAAATGCATGCCCAAGCCTATGACAGCGACCTTTTCTTTCACCGCTTGTTTAGACACAAAGGCTGCCCATCACATTTACAGCAGTTAGACTGCAAGAAAGAAAGGGAAAAGACAAGCTGGCGAGCGTGCATGGGTGGAGTTTGAGTAAAGTAATAAACTGAGGAAATATTACATAACAGAACAATCTCTCCTTTTGTCTCTGAAATGTGATCCAGAAGAAGAAAGAAATGAGGCGTGAACACACACGTTGTTTTATTTCAGGCCAAAGTTTCCCACTTGGCACATGCTTGTAGATGTTACTCTGCTGGAAGTTCATAGCTTTGTAAATACTGTTTACACTTTAGATAGTGATGTGTAAGCTTTGGGTAATTAGTCTTACACTGACATAAAATCTGCCTGACTGTCTCGCTTTCTCACACACACACACACACACCCACATGAGTTACTATATATAAGACTTGCTTGGATTCAGTTTGATGTCGCGGCTCATTAATTCATCAGGCACTGAATGTATAAATACAGCTGCACTATGCTCACCCTCAGGTGTTTCTTAGTCTCGATCTATCTTTTCATCCGTCTTTGTAGGGCTTTCGTGGCATTACACAGTTTTCCTGAGGAATGCAGCGGCAAGCACACATTTGCACCTCTACTCCGAGGCACTTCAGGTCACGGCAGGGTGAGGATGCAGAGACGCAGACAGACTCTGTTCCTTCCTCTGTCATCCATCATAGACAACCACCACCCCCCACCTGCCACCACCGCGACCTCCAACCCCTCACTGCCTCCTGTGTGTGCTTCTCATTAGCGTTTTGGATAGAGGATCGGAACTAATTTTTTCCAGGGTACGAGGCTCGTGAAAGCTGACAGCTGCCCTCCGCCCCCACCGCCCACAGAGAGAAGAAAATCAACTTAAAGAGCCACTGTACAGGGAACTGTACTCATTGACCTGATTGTGCTGTGAGCCTATGCCAAATATCAGAGACAACAATGACAGTCTAATGGGACTTGAGTTATAAGTATTTTAATTCCCAAACTGACTTTTTATGACTGCCCTGGACATAATTCTTTTCCACTAAATAATCTGATAAGAATGACTTAACACATGTAGCCCAAAACAGCCCATAAAGGAATGTCCTTTAAAAACTAGCGAAAGGAATGCAAGTTAATTGGAAACAATATGCAGTGCTGCAGTTGTGTCTCTTATGATTTCTCCCATGCTCATAAGGGAATTTGTGGATCAATAGGTTGATTTAAAATCAACAATCCCATCACTAACATGAGGAAAACTCCAGGGCCATAGATTTCAAAGATCAGTGAAGTTGCTCTGACAGCTTTTGTTAGGCTAAAGGCTGAATGTGGGTCCCGGTGACACATGGGTCAAGAAAGGTCAAGTCGAGAAACTATTAGGTTAGAGGAAGAGCAAATTTACAAATTTAATCTAAACTAATCTCACATTTGAGCATATCGTCAGGTTAACGGTTGTATTTTGTGAGTTCGTGTGTGTGTTTGTGTCAATGGCTGATTGACAAGGAAACTAATGGAGTGTGGGTTTGCATTGGTATGTAGCTAAATGGTTAATTGGATTACTGAGTCACAAGATCCATGGACTTGTTGTTAAGAACAGCTGCATTACTATTTCCAACTCCAATTAATCAATACCACATCATGGGCAGCATAAAGCAGCAGTCTGAAACATATTATACTCACAAGTGCAAAGCTAATTTAAAAATGCACAAAACCAATAAAACAACAGAGCCTAAATGGCCTAGAGGGAACTGTGCCATGCGGGGATGCCAGCATTCTGTAAATTACTGTTACATCGTCTCCCAAAACAGATTTTCAAAAGATTTTGTCCCCAATAACTTAAAAAAAAGAAAAAAGTAAGTATCGTACAGCTTCAAGCTGAGATAGTATGCAACAGGATTGATGCGGCAAAGAAAATGTGAAATTCATTAATGCACAAGATGCTGTTTTCTGCACTGATTAAGAAGCCGACAAGAACTAATAAGAGTAATGGAAATGTGTTGAGGGGAATCACAGCCCAGCCTCACAATCTTCAAGACGTTTAAGAATATTAATGTCTAAAACTCAAACCAAAACAACAATGGAGCCATTTATTAACAATAAAGTATTCAGTTACATTTTAATACAAACACACACAGACACACACACACACACACACAGACACACACACACACACACACATCAGGCTAGCAGCTGCCCCTGTTCGGGAACTTCTTAAACCAAGTGACCATGCACATCAATTAGTCACCTCATTAGCTGAACTGATTTGTTTTTCTTCAGTGGAAGAAAAAAAGTCACTTGTTGTTAAATCAAAAGTTCAGCTATAAAAAAAAGAAAAGAAGAAAAGGTAAAAGTGCATCCGTCTGATGTTTCTTGTTCTAAAAGAGAACACTATCGTGATTACTTCAAACAACAAAGCTAAGACTGGCTTTATTGTCGCGCCCGCAGCTAAAACAGGCACAAGTATAGACGTCCGTATTCAAATTCCTAAGCAAACAAAATAAAAATCTAAGATGTGAAAAGGACTTTGGAGGTCAGGTACTACAAAACACACAGGTGGAACGCCAACATAGCTGGAGGAAAAAAGCGTTTGAAGGAAATTTTGGTCTTTAGGATTGTATTCTGTCAACAAAGCCCAGAATCAGTCCTTCAGACTCTGGAATTTTCCGTTGTTGTTGGCCTGCTCCAGGAATGCTACAGTAAGTTTGGGAATTTTATAAACATGTATTTAGAGCGTAGACCATTTCATTTGCTTTGCGAAGCTGGCAGCATGGCTAAGTAGAGCTTAGGAAAGAACACGTCCCAGAATAGGCAGAGGTGGGAGCGGGAAACCACACAGGAATGGCTGCTGAGAGCAAGGCCAAAAGGACAGGCACAGGGTTGGAGTTAAGAGTCCTCTAGCTTTGCTGTGGGACGCGACTGAAAGCGCTGATGGAAGGTTACAGAGCTGCTGCCATGGAATGTTCTACAAGTGTGCGAAACCAGATTACAGGTTCCCCATGTTGTGAAGACTAAGCTCTTTCATGTGTAACCACATCCTGCTGTAGTTTCTCTATACCAGACGGAAATGACTATTAAAGGTGTCGGCGTGCTGAAACTCAAGCAGAGAAAAGAAAATGCAGGACTGTTAGATACAGAGATCACATGATGTTCCTCAGTCCAGTCAAAAGTGACATAACTCCAGCCTGACCGATCTGTGTAAAAACACACCCAGTTAGATTCTCCACACGTCTATTGTTACAGCCCTCACTAAACACTTGTGTTACTATTGTCTGCCCAGGCAAACAAAGTCAGTGTGCAGGAGTTAGATACAGTACAGGCTTTTCTATGTGTGTTTGCTTGTGAAATGAGGGTGTGCGGTCACCCGACCCTTTGATCCGACATGTGGGAGTCGCTCTCCATTAAGACGAGAATCACGACCCATGTCGCTAATTACAGGAGGAAGCTAAGCTGAGGGTCAGGGTCTCCACCCACCTCGCCCTGCTTCAGCTCAATCCCACAGTCACTTGAGAATCAACAATGATCAGACAAGTTTGTGATATAAATAGAAAGGCAGAGCCACTGCTCTGTTATTCCAAGTGCCCAAAGACCAAACCCTGGTCGGCAGCCTAATTTGTGGACTTGATGCTCCCTTAAAATTTTGGTTGCTGAAATATAGTAAGAACATATACATGGGCATGCAGATGTGCAGGGGATGGGAGCGTTCAGCATGACTGTTGGTATATGATTTGCAGGCACCAGTGGTTGCCACCATGTATATTGTATGACAGGGAAGTACCAGTAAATTGGTGACCCAGCAAAGCAGTGTTGACTTTAGTGGCTGTGCAGCTGGGAATGCCAAGAAAGCCCAAAATAAAACAGATAATTTACAGAACAAGAAGAGGTAAAGCTGAAACATTTCCAGTGATTTATGTTAAACACAGA